ATTATCATTATCATTATCATTATCATTATCATTATCATTATCATTATCATTATCATTATCATTATCATTATCATTAGCATTAGCATTAGCATTAGCATTAGCATTATTATTATTATTATTATTATTATTATTATTATTTGTATTATTAGTATTATTAGTATTACCATTACCATTACTATTATTAATTATTTTCTTATAGGAATTTATTGTATTAGTTCAAGAGTCAGATTCCTGGAGATATTCTCAGCTAGTAAATTTTCCCAAATGGAAAATTTCTGATTGTTCACCCCTTCGTAAAATCCAATTGTAATTGTCCATGTTAAAATAATATACCTTTGTTCAAATTAAAATTGTTTCTATTCCTTGAAAATCTTTGGACTAACTGAATTTGGATAAGACTAACTGAATTAATTAATAGACAAATATACCAAAATAACTTATCCCTCAAACGGTTGGAAACCACTTACAGATCGGGATCCAACTTACCCCTTTAAGTCATACATTTTTCTAATCAATATTTTTGCTGGAATATTGTTACTGCGGGTTTTTGGGGTCGCTGATTACGAATGTGAAGCCTGAATCTGAAAATTCCTGAATAAAAGATGGCAGATCCAATATGGAGGATGTAAAAATCAGAAAAGCATTGAAAATTTGAAATCTCTAATTTTAATTCGGAAATTTTTAAATTCAAAATGGCGGACTGAAAATTATAGGGGCATAGTTTGTTATCCCTGCAAGTGCCAGTTATAATTTAGTTGGGACAGTTTGCTGCTTTTGGCTCTAAAATCTTATATGTCTCATTTAAGAGTACTTATGGTGTTATCACACCTTGTTGGGATTGGTAAGAGTATTTGAAAAAGACAGCACACTGCAAATGGAATTTATATTTTGTTTCTCATTTTCAGACATTGCCTTTTTTTACTCAATTTTTTAAACATTCCCAATGCATTTTTTTGGGTGGTAAATACCAATCTCTATACCAGCAATCGGCAACTCGCTGACTGCGGAAGGTAAAATACTGGACCGCCAAAAATTTTTTGAAATTATAAATTACTCTAATAAATTATAAAAAATGTTTTTTTACGTTTGAGTGACACCCTTCTCATTTTTTCTAGTATTTTACAATTGTGTGACTGATTTGAGTTCTTAATGGTTTAACCATTAAAATTAAATTTGAGTCCAAATTAAAATAAAAAATTTGTAATATGAATTTTTTTTTCTGGACCTCATTCAAAAATTTCAAAAGTGTCAGGACCCCACCTAAAATTACTTGCCGACCCCTGCTTTATACTTTTCTATTCGCCATAATGAGTTTGCCATTTTGGATTTAAGAATTAAAGTAGTCCCTTATATTATTGTTTACTATTATTTATTAAAAAATAAGAATACAGAATGACATTCAATCACAAAAAGCTCAATTTATGTTAAAATTATTAAAACAAAATGATAACGGTATCTTCTGCAGTTTAAATCTGATTTGATCCCAGCATTAATGTTGGGCAACAGAGGCACGTCTCCACTGTTCCGTAAAACGTCCGTATGAATCTAGTAGGCAGAAGGTACAGAGAAAACAAATTGTGTGACATTTATATACTACAGTACGTTCACCTTACATGATTAAGCATAATTCATAATGATAAGCAAATAGCTGCAAAACTATTGGTTAAAAAAAATCAAACTGTGTTCCGACCACTTGCACTTGCAACCACTTGCTTGTCACGTATGTAACACATTTGACCATGTTGTACTTCATTAGAATATGTAAACTGAACTTTATGTAGATATTTATGGTCTGTCGATTAATCGCTTAGGACCTTAGCCCCCCACTGTATTTTTGGTGGCCTATAAATACGGGCAATATTCATTTGATATAGAGAAAAGTTATTTATATTCTAGTTATGAAGTTAAAAAGAAATAAATAATTGCTGATTGTTTATTAACAATTATAAAAATAATATATAATAATATATATAATATAATATATAATAATATAAAAATAAATTTATAAATGTAAAAACAAGGTAGGATTTTCTTGATATTTTTTAAAATGTACTGAATAAAAAAAAATTTTAGATAGGTAAGCAGATAGCAAAATTATACCGTATTAGCACAGAATATATAGCTACGCTACAGAAGGCTCGTGCAATGTATTAAAATGTAGTCCCCGAAAAGAAGCCGGCTGTAATATCCAGCTTCTTTCAAACTGCGCATGTACAGTAGAGAGTGTAAGTTTAGCTCCTAGCTCGTAGGTGACGCCAGAGGCGAGTCGGATTTAATGCCCAGTTTAGACAGCGTTGCCGGATGTAAATTTTACAGGAATTATTAGGATATTATCAAGGCAAATAAAGTTCTATTTGCCCTGATATTATACCTAAACGATGAAAAGTATTAAATAATATATATGTAATGTATAATATGCATTTCTATATACCAGTGACAACTGACATTTTTTAATTTACAATTAAATTGTAATTAAGAATATACATATGTACAAATAAAATACATACAGGGTGTCTCCTAAACGCCCCAACCCATAACTTCGTTATTTATAGTCCGATTTCAAAAAATAA